TACAAAAAGAGAAAAACAAGAAAAAATTTATGAAATTAAACTTCATACACATAGTGAAATATTATGTTTAAATTTACCAAAAGAATTTCAAGAATTTTTAATCTATACACGACAACTTGGTTTTGCTGAAGAACCAAATTATTTTTATTTATTTTCATTAATTAAAAAAATATATCAAACAATGAATATTAAAAATGATTTTATCTATGATTGGATTACTCATAAACCAAAATGATTCACAAAAAAAACTTCTAATTTTTTAATTGATTTAACCCTTCGTTATTGTTCTTATTTTGGAACTTCGTTACTGTTGTGGAGTCCACCTGGACCCACTCATAGAAAATGACAAAAAATTGATCCTTTTGTTTTATCCAAGCTATTCATTTATATTCTATAGATTTCTAAATACCCTTCTCAAAGAGACTGACTTATCAGTTTTCCTGGTGGCAATATGAGAGTATACAATGTCGAAAAAATTTTGATTGGAACTGTGTTCATAACAGCATTAGAGTATAATTGAATAGATAATAGATTTCATCACTTTAGTCTAGAACAGTAGAAATACGCTCATGTATTAGCATACACTGTTGTCTGTAGATAAGAATTGGAAATGTTTTCTTTTTATTTATCTTTATATTCATCATCATCTTTTTTTCATGATTATAAAAAAAACTACAAAATTGCTGTTTCTCTGTCACAATGATGGAGTTGTTCTTATTTCAGTTTGTTTGCGTTCATTTAATAAATATAAATATTTTCTAGTTCTTTTCTTGCCATGTTTGACAAGTTACCACTGTAACATTGCTAGAATGTGAAACGCAGACATTCTGTTCACAATCATGACAAGTTTGTCGGACTTTTCGTTCAGGTTTTGATGGATATAAATAACATCTTCTTTTTGCTCAGTTCAAATGAATATTTACCATAAGATTTTGCATACTTTTCGAAGAAACATGATAATCAAGGGCCAGTAAAGCAAACTTTACTTTTGGTTTGAGACAAGATTCTTGGCTGCGACGCTGATTTTGCAAGTTTGTTAGAGTCTTACTCAATTCTACTAAGAACTTGCGTCGGATATTTGTGCTTCCAGTATTCAATGTAGGATTTTGACATAACCAAATTGTCATTGCATTTATTGCGGCAATATCAATCATGTTATAAAAGACCACCATTGGCCATGGTCGATTGATTCATCGCACTGTATAATACCCAATACATTAATCAACAGCGTCAACACCAGATTTTGTCTGGTTGTAGTCATGAACCACACGTGGCAACTTTTTCCTGTCGTCATATGTTTCAGGAAATCTATGTTAGGAAGATAAAATGATAATTGGTTTTTTCTTTTCGTTTGCTTGATAAGACAAGAGTATGTGTGGTCCTGAAAAATAGAACCATGACGAAAACAATTGTTTTCGATGTACTTTAAATTCATTAGATAAAAAAGCAGCGTCTATGTTTGACGACTCCAATGCACGTCATTTTTCGATCCAACAATGCTTCAGATAATTTCATATCCGTGACGTAACGATCAAATGTAATGGTGCGATCCTGCCAAACGTTCTTCGGCAATTGATCAACTAAATTAAGAACAACGTTAGTAGCAAGATTCTTCTGAACTGCGTTGTCTTTTTTCCCGGTATATAGATCCAGTGATAATATATATCGACTATTGGCATCACATAATGTCCAAAACTTTAGTCCATATTTAGCCGGTTTTTTCGGCATATTGCACGAAACAACAACAATCACGAAAGGGCACCAATTATTCATCAACAGTTAAATTTTCACTGGGTACAAAATGTCGAGAAAGTTGTTTGACAAAACTTTCAAATATGAATCTAATGGGAGAAAGACGGTCAGGTTTGTCACAATGTTGTCGATCATCAAATCGAATGAATTGAAGAAGATATCTAAAATGTTCAAAGGACATTGTAGCTCGATATATTGGACTACTTTGACTAATGTCCCATAGTTCAGAAAGTAATTCATGGTTGTTCTTATTAACACCAGATTGAATCAGTAAACCAATAAAAGATTCTAATTCAATACGATCTAATGGTTTCCATTGAAATGAATTCAATTTCATAGTATTAGAACCTTGTCGTGATCTTTGAGTTTGATCAAAATATCGTTTGGCATAATGATTTGTATGAAGAACAATTTCATCAAGAATCTCATTCGTAAAAAAAGTTTAAAAACATCTAGAATGGTCTGGATTTTGGTAATAGAACCTGGTTTCTTTTTCATTATATTAGCTGCAGATATTCAACCTTGTACTGGAATTGAATGTATAGACCATGTAACACCGGTCTTCTGTAATGCTTCTGGTTGACTATCTGTGGCAATATCACTTTGATCAATATCAGAATTTGATGAATCAGATTCTTCTGATATATACTCATTAGTGAATGTGTCATCTGATTCAGTAACAATAGGATCATATTCGCTATCCGAATCACAAACTTGATCATCACCCATATCATCAATTTGATTCTTATCTCTCAATGAAACCTCATGAATTCGTTTTAAATTTGATTTATGAATTGTGTCTATACTATAAAAATAGGAAGTATGGAAACGTATATTTGTTGATTTCTCTTACATTTTGACAAAGCAAATTCACAAAATTCAAATGTATAAAGGATAAATTCGATCAAAGTGTGGGTTTGATCAAAAACGTATTACAAATTTAACACTATATAAAGAAAAAGTGGATCATTATTATTGGTAATGAACGTACAAACGAATTACAACGAATTTATATGAAAAAAACAATGG